TCAGTTCTTAATCTGGAACTCTGAGTTGTTTATTTGTTTGCTTTGGCCATACTGGGGTTTGAACTCAGGACTTTATGCTTGGCAGGCAGGCGCTTTTACGTTTGACCTGCTCCTCCAGTCCATTTTGCTCTGGTTCTTTTGAAAATGGGGTCTTGAGAACTATTTGCCTGGGCTAGCCTTTAACCAGTCCTCCCAAATCTCAGCCTTCCAGGTGACTAGGATTACAGGTTGAACCACCAGTGGGGGCTCCTAGCCCTCTTTTAATTTACTGAGCAACCTGACAAACAGGATGCATGTGTTTAGAATAAAAACTAAACTCTTCACTGGATGGACTTGCTTCTTTCTTTTCCTCTTAGGAGCATTGTGTCAAATTACTTTGCGTCTAATCTGAGAAGTCAGGTTTCATAATTTTGTGAGGAATTTTTCTGAGTCATAGTCATTATTAATGTGTGGTTCGAGTGGAAATCACATTACCTAATTCTCAAGGAGGGTGGGGACTAACTGGAATTCCAGTGGTGGTGGGACAGTAGGTCTTTCTGCTGGAATCCAGGACTCAAAGGAAGGAAGGTTTTGTCTTGTGGCTAAGAGGTGACCACAGGGCAGGAGATGCAGGCTTTGCTCCAGGGTAAATCAGGGACCCGTGGCTGTTCATGCTGACATCTGAATGAGAATTTCTGAGTGTGTAAATCTCAGTGTGGGCTTATTCTTCTCAACTGGAGTATGGCTATAAGAGAGCCCTCATTCTAGACATTGGGACTAGAAAATTTCAGTGTCTAGTGAAAGTGGGAAAAGATACTAGTAAGCCTGAATTTGTGTTAAATGTTACTTTTGCAGTTCTCACACTGTACCATAATTTCTTGTTTGAGTTTGTACCTTATTCTTTGTTATTTTACCCTACTCAGCACTGCACACAGTAAAGCAGGTGCTTATTGAAACCCTGGAAGATTTAACAGCCATGTACCAGTTGAAAGTTGTGTTTTAAATTACAATTCAGTCACCGTTGAACAGGACCACATTGTTGGAAAGTAATGGTTTTCAAAACAAAGCTCTGGGATTTTGGCTTCACGAACCTTGCAGGCTATGGGCAGATACCTTTGGAGGACTTGACTTACCTATCTGAAACAAAAAGTCCACTAGCATCTACTGCACAGAGAAGCCGTGCATCTGCATGTGTACCTCCTCCAGCCCAAGAGCCATGGGCTAAATTTAGTAACAAGTCATACTAGATTTATTTCTAAGGTCCTCCAGTTTGATTTCTGTGGCCAGTTGCATGAGCACATAGCAGGAGAAGGGCAGCTTAGCAGGACATCTCTAATAAGATTAAGGGGATTTTGTCCCTCGCGAGCCTAATATGAATTAATAATACAGGGTAGCTGCTGTTCAGCAACACCACTCATCAAATGTCAATTGAATTATTAGCCATGTGGTGGGACTGTTGAAGTCTCTTAGTGGAAATGGTCCAAACAAAGCGAAAATCACAGTCACTCCATTACTGGTTATTGTGCAGGCAGTGCTGCTGGTTTGGGAAGCAGCAAGTCAGATAATTGAACATCTCTATTCTGGGGGGTCCTGGCCCTTCAGTTGTTCATTGGAAACCTCCAAAAGGGACTCAGTTAGTTGATGCTTCCTCCTTTGGTAAGAGATGCACAGGGCTGCTGGTGGTTTTGCTCATTTCTGGGCTTGTCTGATTGTACCTGGGCCACTGTCAACGTGGGTGCCCCCTTTGTCAGTACAGCCTGCTTGGCCAGTCCTCAGAGAGCAGACCTCAGGTGGAGAGGGAAGCTGTGATACTGTAGGAGGGGCACATGTGGAAGTAGGGCTGAGGAGGGGGTAGTTGTGGTAGGGGGGAAGGTTGAATGAGAAACAGTGGATGAAAGTGACTAGGAAATGTTTGGATCTAATGCAAGGCAGAGTTTTTGTTGCAGATGGCAGCGTCTTGCTGTTTGCAGTCTCTGTGTTCTTGGAAATTGTTTCTGGATACTGTGGAGCATTAGATAGCATTGAAGAGTGTACTTTCAAATCTCATCCAGCCTCAAGTCTGCATTCGTGATTATTTTCTTTTGTTTGGCAATGTTTACTTCGTCCCGTCTTTTGTCTTCTCAGCATTGAGCCAATTCCTGTGGGTGATTAGGAGAGGCATTAGTATGTGCTCTGTGTGAATTTCATAGTCAAATGACAAAGCATTGTTAGCCAAACTAAGACAAAGTGTAAACAAAAGTCAAATTTTTGATGATCTGTTGGAGGAAGGGGGCAGGGGGGATGGCTTTCCCCAGAACTCTGTGGCCTTGTGTTTGAAAGATTCGTGGGATTTGCATGGCAGAAAGAACAGACTGCTGTTGGTAGTAGCTGTTTGGGTGAAGGTAGGTAGCGACTTCCTGGAGTCCTCCTGGGGAAGAGGCAGGGAAAGTGTGAGCAGGCTGCCTTAGAGGAGTCTTATCCTGGGATTCACAAGCTATGAAAGGAAGGGAGAGTATTTAAAGCAGGTGGAAGCAGCTGGCCTTTGCAGTGGGGTGGGAGGGGGAGTGACTTCATTGCAGTTCCTAACTGAACACTTTGCGACATGGTGGTCTATGAATACTCATTTATAGGTCATTGACACAACTAGTTTAGTAGTATGTTGGAGATGAAAGGAAAATTCCAGGGTTGTGAGAACATATTATAATAGCCTACATGATAAGGCCACAGAAGCCAATGAAAAATTTGATATGAAGTTTGAGTCTTGTGTTTAGCAGATATTTATGGACCAACTGCCTGCTGTGACCCTGCATGGTGCTATAAGCTGGAAATAGAAAATAAGACAGTACTCTTGGGTTGTTTTTTTTTGTTTTTGTTTTTTACAGTACTGGGGCTTGAACTCAGGGCCTATACCTTGAGCCACTCCATCAGCCGTTTTTGTGTGTGTGTGTGTGTGTGTGTGTGTGTGTGTGTGTGTGTGATGGGTTTTTTCAAAATAGGGTCTCAAGAACTATTTGCCCAGGCTGGCTTCCAACTGTGATCCTCCTGATCTCTGCCTCCTGAGTAGCCAGGATTACAAGTGTGAGCCACTGGCACCCAACTAACCTCTCTCTCTCTTTTTAATTTATTTATTTTTGGATGGGACTGGAATTTGAACTCAGGGCTTAATGCTCACAAACCAGGTACTCTACCATTTGAGACACACCACACCTCCAGTCCATTTTGCTCAGGCTGTCCTTGAACCATGAACCTCCCATTCCAAGTAGCTAGGATTACAGATGTGAGTCACTGGTGGAATCCATTTTTTTTCCTTGACTTTTCCTACCCAGTAGAAAGTGAGTACAGTGTCTGGTCTGTTCTCCAGTAGTGGGGGAAGGTGAACGTGTGAATGGATATCTTCTGGTCAGTTCAGAGCCTAATTTGAACTTGCTGCCTCAGTTTCAAAAGCATTCTGACATGTGTCTCATTGAGAGGACTTTTAAGTCTTTTTGTGGGGAGGGCATAATGGGGTTTGAACTTGGCCTCATCCTTGCTAGGCAGGCACTCTACCACTTGAGCCACTCTGCCAGCCCCTTCTTGTGTTGGTACTTTTGAGATAGGGTCTTGCTTTTTTTTTTTTTTTTTGGCCTGGGTTGGCCTCAAACTGTAATCCTCCTAATCTCTGCCTTCCAAGTAGCTGGAATTATATAGTGTAAGTCACTAGTACCCTGCCAAATCTTTCTTAAGAGCTTATGTCCCTGTCTCAGGTTGGCTGGCAGCCTGCAGTTTTCGGCACTCACAGTTGTACACCACTTGCTTCATCCCTAGCTTAACAGCCATCACCATTGCCAATAGACACCAAACTCAGTAAGCATAAATAAGTTAAATTGACTTCTGGGCTTCATAATTCAGCCATCATTTACTGCCCATTTTGTACAGCACACTATGATAATAACAGTGAATGCCAATAAGACACATCTTATTGAAGAGGCAGAATTGACAGCCCAAAGCTATGCACATTGCACATGGGTAAATGGCCCAGACCTCCAGGTCCTGTGCTCCAACGGCCAGATTGGAAGTCAGCCATATGTACACATACATGCAGAGGGTTCCATGTATACATGTGCCACCCTTGTAAGATCACCTCTTCACAGTGATTAGGGGAAAGTGAGTCAGTACATGTTTGGCTAGGAAACCATGCTTTTGAACCTTATAATTACTTGAAAACAGGTGGCATAGTTGAGACAGTGTCTAGAATACAGGACTTCCATTCTAATGTTTTGGTCATCTCCTAGGGACAGTAGGGACAGCAAAGGAACATCTGCTGGAAATCACTGTCCATGGGAAAGGGTGGTGATGGGCTGGCTCATCTGAATACTCAGTCATTCAGAGTACACTTTAGTTGATACTCATACTGCGCCTCTTGCTCTTCCGTTAGTGCCTTGTGCTTTGAGGCTGGTTGGGTGGGATGTGAGGACCACTGGCATTCTTTCTTCAGCTCACCTTTCTCTGCAACCCCCCAAAGGAAAGTGGTGGGAGCCTTAGTCCACCACTGCAGAGATTACTAGTGCCAGGACTGGACCAGATTTCAGTACCTCTGGGAGCAAGTGGCCCTCAGTTTCCTTCCTATATGTGTAACCCTCAAGTATAGAGAAAGAAGACTTAAAGAGAACAGAAACCTGAAAATTCTTTTGGCATTACTGGGGCTTCAACTCAGAGAACTCTGCCACTTGAGCCATGCCCCAGCCAGTAAAAAAATGTTTTGACTGATTCATAGAAGTCTAGAATCAGATTTAGAGACCAGGTGGAATACAGCTTTTGAAGCTATGGCTTTTCTACAACTGCTGGACATTGTGAGGAATTCTCCAAGCCCTCCTGGCTACCCAAGAGATGTTAGTGTCCTGAAAAGATGGACTCCAGTATGGACAGTAGAGCTAGGGCCTTGTAGAGTATTAGAGCTGAACTAAAGGTCCAAGGAAAAAAAAAAAAAGAAGACACCCAAAGTTATGTGGTAATGTTTTTGAGTGATTTTGAGTCCACCTCTTTTTCTGCTCTGTTTCCTGCAGTGAACACCTACCTCTTCATGATGCAGGCCCAGGGCATTTTGCTGCGGGACAACGTGAGAACCATAGGTGCCCAGGTGTATGAGCAAGTGGTTCGCAGTGCATACGCCAAGAGGAACAGCAGCCTCAACGACTCAGGTATGCTTTAGTAAAGAGGTGGTCCTGTTAGACTGACTGTCTTCTCTCAAGACAGGTAAACTTAGCCTGAATCGTTTTCAGAGGAGAAAAGTGCACTGTGCAGAAGGAAGCCTAGCTGCACTTGGACTTCTACTTTGAAAGAGCGGCTCTGGCCACTTCATAAGCGAGTCCTCGCTCACTTTTTTTCCCCTCCCGGGACTAGGGCTTGAACTCAAAGCCTCACACTTGCTAAGCAGGTGCTCTACCAATTGAGTCACTCCACCAGACCTACAATACTCTAAAGTTACTGTGTTTCAGCATAGTGGCCACCAGTGTCTTGCCAGTAAACAGATCAGGTCCACACTTATTAAGACCCCAGAAGAACAGGAGCACCCAAAGCTGTTTGGGGAAATCAGTTGGTATTTAATTACAGAAGATATATTCATATAAGCAGTTGGTGGGGGGAGCGGTGCAGAACTTGGTTGGACTTCATTATACTTACTTTCTGGTGTAGTACCATGACTTTTGTTTGTTTGTTTGGTGTTTTTGAGATAGACTTGGTGGTGATGGTATGTGATGTTTTGCTTACATACTAATCCGCCCTTGGTTGCTGCACAAGATGAATAAAATGGTCCCCCTCTTTTGTTGGACCCATTCAGGAGGACGTCTTTCCCCTTTGTCCATGAGCGCTTTCACTGAAACAAATTCTCATTTCATAATGATCCTGTAACCTGGGACAGTTTTCACAAATTACAGTTGTAAAAAAGCAACTTCTGGAAGAAGTTTAATAGATCACCTGGCTTTCCTTTCCAGTCAGGTGTGTTTATCCTATAGTTTAATCTCAGCCACATGGTTGAGTTTGGTGATGTTAGTTAGCTTTGTGTTGTTACAACAAACATCTGAAATGATCAACTTAGAAAAGGTTTATTTTGGCTCACTGTTTTAGATCATATGGCCCCATTACTTTGGGGCCTGTGGAGAGGCAGCACATTGTGGTGGAGCAAAACGGCTCACCTCATGGCCAGGAAGTGAAAGAGAAAAAAAGGAAGAGGCCAGGTCCCACCAACCCCTTAGGGACATGTCCCCCATGTCCCGAAGACCTTCCACTAGGCCCTACCTAGGTTCTGTCACCTCCCAATAACAGTACCAAGTTGAGAACCAAGTTGTTATCACCTGGGCCTTTGGGACACCTTCCAGATCCAAACTCTAGCAGGCAGTCACACTCACTAATCTTTTATTCTTAAAAATTTTCAGCTAAAGCTTCCACCAAAAAAACCTTCTAGATTTGACAAACACTTTTGGCAGTATAGCAAGATATATTAGTAACATAGAAATCAGTAGCTTTTCTATGTAGCAACAATGAATAGACTGAGAAGGAAAACAGGAAAATAATTCCATTCACAATAGCCTAAAAAAAACCAACAACAAAAAGCCCTACATGTAAACTTAACAAGGAGATGAAAGATCTCTACAATGAAAACTATAAAACCTTAAAGAAAGAAATGGAAGAAGACACCAGAAGATGGAGAGAGCCCCCCCCCACCGTGTTCATTGATTTGCAGAATTAATATTGTGAAAATGGCTATACTACTGAAAGCAGTATACAGATGCAGTGCAATCCTTGTTAAAATCCCAATGTCATTGTTGCAGAAATAGAAAAATCAATCCTAAAATTCAAAAGGAGACATAAAGGACCATGAGTAGCCAAAACAATCCAAAGTAAAAAAAGCAACGCTGAAGGTATCACAATACCCAAATTTACATTATACTACAGAACTGGAGCAATGAAAACAGCATGGTACCGGCACAAAAACAGACACAAAGACCAGCTAAACCCAGTGAGCTACAGCCATCTGATTTTTGACAAAAGAGCCAAAAACATACATTGGAGAAAAGACAACCTGCTCAGCAAATAGTGCTGTGAAGACTGCTTAGCTATATGCAGAAGACTGAGACTCTGTCCTTACCTCTTACCTATGCAGCAGTCAGTTCAAAATGGATCAAAGACCTGAAAGCCTGAAACTTCCACAGGAAGACACAGGGAAAAAGTTGGAAGATTCTAGTTGCCCAGGAAATAAGAACAAGAATTGACAAATAAAATTGCATCAAATTTAAAAGGTTCTGCACAGCAAAGGAAACAGTTACTGGAAGCAAGAAATAGCCCATAGAATGGGGGAAAATCTTTTGACAGCTGTTCAACAGATAAGGGATTAATATCCAGGATATACAGAGCTGGCAAAATTAAATAGCAAAAGAACACACAATTAGTCAGGTTCTGGTGACTCACGCCTGTAATCCTAACTACTCAGGAGGCAGAGATCGGGAGGATCACGGTTCATAGCCAGCCAGGGCAAATAGTTTGAGAGACCCTATCTGGAAAAAGGCCAACACACTAAAGGGCTGGTGGAGTGACTCCAGGTGAAGGCCCTGAGTTCAAGGCCTAGAACCAAAAAAAGTAAACACACAAATTCAGTTAATAAATGGGCAAATTAATTGGACAGTTCTTAGTTTAGATGGCTACTAAACACATGAAGAAATGTTCAAGATCCTTACCCATAAAGGAAATCCAGATCCAAACTGCACTGAGATTCCATCTCGTCCCAGTCAGAGTGGCAGTCACCAAGAAAACAAATAACTAATGCTGGCGAGGATGTAGGGGAAAAGGATCCCTCATCCACTGCTAGTGGAAACGTAAACTAGTGCAACCACCGTGGAACCACTAAGGTTCATCAAAAAACTTAAAATAGACGTACATTATGACCTTGTATACCACGCTCGGGCATATATCCAAAGGGGTATAAATCAACATACAAGAGATAACCTGCACATCCTTGTTTATCGTAGCACTGTTCACAGTAGTCAAGCTGTGAAATCAGCCTAGGTGCACAAAAACTGATGAATGGATTAAGAAATGTGGTATATATACACAATGGAGTGTTACTCAGCTATAAAGAAAAAAATGAAATGATGTCATTGGCAGGAAATAGATAGAACTGAAGGTCATCATGCTGATTGAGATTAGACAGCCTGAGAAAGACACATGTCATGTGTTCTCATGCATGTGGAGTCTAGACCTGAAGTGACAACGATAATAATAAAGATGGGACTTAGTGTAAAAGGGGAATGGGGGCATCAGCAGGAGGGGAGGGAAAAGGAAAGCATATGAAGAGGATCAAAGACTCTTATATATACCAAGGTAGCATAGTGAATCGCCAGACACTGGAGGGGGTGGGGAGCAAATAATGGCTAGGGGGAGGGTGTGGAATGGAATATAATAGGGGTGAACTCGTTCAGAGTACACTGTGTGCATCTATGGCATTATCACAATGAACCTCCTGTGCCATTAATGTATCCTAGTAAAAAATGGGGGGAAAAGGAGGTAGCCAGGCATGGGGATTCTTCCCGTCCCAGCATTCAGGAGGCTAAGGCAGGAGCATCATGAGTTTAGACTCAACCTGGACTACATAGTGGGACCCTGTGTCAAAACATCAAAAAGAAGCCAGGTGGCTCACAACTATAATCCTAGCTACTTGGGAGGCTAAGATGGGAAGATCACAAGATCAAGATCAGCCCAGGCAAATAAATAGTTCAAGTGACCCCATCTACAAAATAACCAAAGCACAATGGACTGGAGATGTGGCTCAAGTGTGGTAGAGTGCTAGCTTTGTAAGCACAAAGCCCTGAGTTCAAACCTCACAAAGAAAAAAGAAAAAACAAGAACGTGGAAGATCCTTTGTTGAACTCTGTTGTTGTTCTTCATGGTGTTCCATGAGGAAAAGAAGTTGCAGCTGGGCACTGGTGGCTCACGCGTGTCATCCCAGCTACTTGGGAGACAGAAATCAGGAGGATCATGGTTCGGGGCCAGCCCTGACAAACAGCAAGACCCTATCTCAAAAATACCCAACACAAATAGACAGGCAGAATAGCTCAGGTGGTAGAGCACCTGCCTAGCCTCTGAGTTCAAACCCCAGTACTGTGCTTGGGCACCTGTATTTCATACTTGTACTCTTAGCTGCTCAGGAGGCAGAGATCAGGAGGATCAAAGTTCAAAACCAGCCTGGGCAAACAGTTCCGTTGGACCCTATCTCAAAAAAAAAACACCCTTTACTAAAAGGGCTGGTGGAATGTCTTAAGGTGAAGGCCCTGAGTTCAAGCTCCAGTACCACCCCCCTCCCAAAAAAAGGTTGAAGAATGACACACAGATCATGATGCCATTTGTGGAAATCTGTTCCTGCCCCCAATAAAAAACCAAATATTTCTATTTCTGTATGTAAATATGTAGGAGAAGTCTGGAAGGATAATCAAGAGACTGAAAATAGTGATTACCTCTGAGATGGGGAGAAGGTGTACATGTATTGCTTGTATAATTAGAAATAAATCAAAAAGGATGAAGTTTTGTTTTTGTTTTTTTAAAAAGAAAACTTCTTAGAACATTCAGCTAATAATTACAGTGGTGGACCCAAGAGCAAACATCTCTTTCTCAATCTTTGGAGCTCTTACCTGCGGCTTTTCTTATCTTGTGAACACTTAACTGTACAGAGAGGAAAGAACACAGAAGTTAGATGTCAGAGGCTTACCCAGCATTGAACAAGAACTCCTTCCTAACCATGTTCTTCCACACACATATCGCCCCCCCCCACACACACACACTGGAATGTAAGTTTAGTGCCTCAGGCTTGCTAGGCAGGTGCCCTACCACTTGAGCCACCACCCTGCCAGCCCTTTCATATGTTGGGTATTTTGTGTGTGTGTGTGTGAGACGGGGGTTTGAACTCAGAGCTTCCAAAGGGCTTACAAAGCAGCAAAGCAGGTGCTCTACCACTTTTGCCACCCAAACAGCCCTTTTTGTGTTGGTTGTTTTCAAGATAAGGTCTCCCAAACATTTGCCTAAGGCTAACTTTCTAACTGCCTTCCAAGTAACTAGGATTACAGGCATGAACCACCAGCACCCATCTTTTATTTTTGAGATAGGGTTTTGCAAACTATTTGCCAGGGCTGGCTTCAAATCTTGGTACTCCTGA